AATGGTTCCTTCGTATAACAATACTATATTAATAATAACATTGACTTTATTCTCACAATGTTATTTATGTTAAGATTCAATCATTGAATTGCATATGTTTTATTAAAAAACTTAAAAGTAAACAATAAATAAATTTATATATGAATTAAACAATTCAGAAACCTATCCATTCAATTTTAGCATTCAATTTGTCATCATAATTATTACGCGTTATGATGAACTTTTGAAAAGGCTAGCTAATTGTTTTTATCTGTTTCACAACCAGAACAATTGATATGAAGTTTGAATTGTAGAAGAAATTTACTATACAATGCCTAACAAATATATTTTCTCAAACATATACTTATACTTTTGCAATTGTTCACATTCATCAGTTAGACTTAACTTATTTTACTTCTCTATCACCAAATGTTTTTACTGCATATGAGAGGCCTATATGTATTTGACACGCTAAAAGGTTAACATTTCATATACATGTATAAGTAATTTAAACATATTATTACAGGAAATTATTTAGAAAAAAATGAAGAATTGCCAAGTTTTCTTCAGCGACTGGTTAAAGCAGGGAAAAAAATGTTTTTGGTAACCAACAGTCCTTTCAAGTTTGTGTAAGTGAGTTCAGAAATCCAGCTTCCCTATCTTTTTTTAGTTATTATTCTTTGTTTCTTTTAATTGTTACAATGCTAGAAACCAGGTTTCAATACCCATGGTGGGCAGAGCACAGATACCCATTGTGCTTCATTATAAACAAATTTTTTTAATTGTCAGTAATATATTTTTATAAAAGTTTTATAACTAATTTTCATTTAATTAATATAATAATATATAACCATTTTTTTTTTAAATATTTGTAGTACTTGATAACATAATATTTGATATACAGCACTTAGTAACACAGTTTTTGTATCCTTAATTTTTACCTTATTGTGTTTCAAATTCAATTATTTTTATTCCCATTTTAACCATATCCAGGCCCGAGATCAGCTTTCAGATATTAAGTTGCACACCTGCATATTAAGTTTCATTGAAGTAAAAATAATAATTCCAACTGTATTTCAATACTTTTCATTCAAAAATATTTTACAATTATCATTTTGTAACATTTAAAAAAATATTAGTGTATGAAGGAATCTAATGGGAATTTTAAATGGTCCAATCGCTAAACCCTGATTTTGACCTGAACATGTGTGTAATGTATCTTGATGGTTTATAATACAATCAAGGGTGGTGGTTATAAATCCAGAAGGTTTTGAGATATTCAAGATGGCACCCAAAATGGCTACCAAAACTGAAAAATGACAATATCTCAGCTTCTAAAAGTGATAGAGTAGCAACTTAGACCTAGGTTAATGGGATCTAAGACATTTGACATTAAAAGTGCAATATTATTTGGTATCTTAGCTACTAAAATGACTACGTAGTAAGTTTTAAACCTGTATATCCCACATTAACTGTAAGATGAAAAGTTGTATGGATGTCTTTGCCCGAATCTAACTTAGCCACAGAAGACAAATATATATGTTTATTCAAAATAATAAAGTATGCATAATGCATATGCTGTGATAAACTATACTCGTGCATGCAATATGAAAAAAGAGAAAAGTATTCCATTTTATATATATTGTTGCTCTAGAGAAAACCAATCATACTTTTAGCAACAATTTTCTATGTGATACTGTATGCTAATAACTCAATGCTTTCAATAGAACAAAAATTTTCCATAAAACCAGAAGTTATTAATGGATGTGTGATACTGAAAGAGAGAACATGAGAATAAGTTACGAGAAGGCCAATATTGTTATGGTATAAAAAATGGTAAGCTGCTTGTTGTACTGTCATATCTAATGGTACTGCCGTGTTTGTTCTTTTCTTGTATTCTTCACAAGAACATTCTCACATGCACTCTAACAGAGGAGGGAACACAGCAGACAAGTGTGAACATTGAGGTGACTGCAAAGAAACATTCCCATATCATTTTACCACTTGTGAAATGCTAAATCAAATTGTATGAACTTTTTTAAACTGAAACTAGATACTATTTAGTAAGTTTGTATTAAGTTTCCTGCAATTTGGTAAAGTACTTCCAACGTGAGAAGGAAAAGAATTTGGATATCGGTGACATCTGTCTGGTCCAGAAAGGGTTAAAGAAATTACTATATATTCTTTATATTATGGTGAGACATGTAACAAGAATTTTTTTCCCCCTATGCACCATTAGGACCTGCTCTTGCATATTTATTATCATATAATTTTGTGATAGAGGAGTTTAAAGATACTGAAAATTTTTTTTTGTCTTATAAAGCTCCAGTCTTGAGTTTAGAATTATTTTTTATAAAAATGCAGACTCTCTTATAGGATACTCAAACACAGGCCACTTATCCGTGTAATACTTTTTTAAGCTTTTGATTTGAAAATGTTTTAAATTTCTCCATTAAAAACTATCTAGTTGGCAGGTTTTGTTCTAGTCTATTTGGTTGTTTGATTTCAGTGCATTATACATATATTTTATCCATTACTGGCTTTAGTTTTATTTGACCAGATATCAAAACTCCTATAACGTGATTCACAAGTTGTTCTTTCTTCCTCACTGTTTCTTGTACTGATAGAAATATCTTGTTGTTTTTACATATAGAACAAAACATTAATGTGTAGTTCTGTTGCTATTTTTTGTAATAATTCTTTTAATACATTTATATGAAAAATCACTTATTATTTTTGCTTTTGCTATTTTATCACCAGACACCATGGTATGGTGTACATGATTGGTACAAACTGGCAAGAACTCTTTGATGTAATAGTTGTTCAAGCAAGAAAACCAAAGTTTTTTACTGACCAAAGTAGGTGAGTATTACCTGCATCATATGGGGTATTGTTCTGTAAGATATTTATAATTCTGTAGTTCTTATTTCTAACTTTAAAAATTTACTAACTCTTGTTAAACAAGGCACACAGTCCAGCTTAATGTGAACACTTGTCATGTCTGTTTACCCAATGGGCAGATACCAGTTCCATTTTCTATTGGATTCATAATGCTCATGCCAGTATTGTTGTAATTGTTTTCTTATAACGTTAACTCTCTCACTACGGGCCCGGTCGCAGGAACTGACCTTGTAACTATTTTGTGCTTGTTATAGTTTTCAAACTATAACTTTTAATACGAGAAGTGTATATTAAAAAAATTTTTGCATATTATCAGTAAACATTACAAAGCTTTAGTATACAAAATATTTTAAAGATTTTTTAAATAATCATTTGCTCATGCATTTTTTCTTTTTGAATATTGAATATCTAACATGTAAAGTAATTTTGATTTTAAGATTAAAAATACTTTTATGCGTCAGAAAATTATCAAACGTTTTTTAGAAAAAACTTTATATTTTATATCTTATTTTCACTATTTTATTATAGTATTGGTTGCATCAGTTTGACTGACCTCATAACCAACATAAAAAACTAGGAAATAGACATAAATTATGCTATTTTCTTTCTAGAATAACTACAAATTATAACAAGAAACCACAAATGTTTAATCTAAATAGCTTAAATCTTTTTAACATTATACATCTATATATATTTATTTTTTATTTCATTGATCTTTCAGCCTTGTCTAACTAACATTACAGAAGATGCAATGTTGCAGTACATGTGCAGTCATATTACAAATATCCAATAGTATAGAACTGACCTTTATAAGGTGATCTGTCTTCAGTTTGTTCTAGTGAACCAGTATTTTGTAAAATACAGTCACATTTCAGTTATAACACATTACATATGCACATACATTGTTACTATTTAAAAATAAGTTCTTTGTACTTGTTTGCCTGCTTGCTGTAATTTGCTAAGCCCAGTCAAATTTGCACGTGGAGAATGTAAAACGAAATAATTTTTTTAGTTTTATATACCAAATATTATAAATTACTTTATAAATATTGTAGAATTTCACTGTAATTTATCAGGCTTACTAACTAAACTGTATTTCTAAAAAATAATAATGTTTTTTGGACAATATTTTCACTTGCCACTTCCTTTGGCGATTCAAGACAAAGAAATAATCTTGGGAACTTCCCACCTTCTAGAAACTAGAAAATCATCAGAGGGACATTCTGAGCTTTCAATTGGTTATTCTCATGCCATAAATGGAAAGAGGTGGGTGGGGCCACTGTTTGATTCACTAAATGTAGTGATATCTCAGCAAACAGAAAAGATAGGAGGTTCTTATTTTATAATCTAGCTTGTCAGTACTGGTAATTTAAGTTTCTAATTCATAAGAAACTATAAACTTTGTATTTGGACATCACAAACACCTTTGAACAAAACTGTATTCAACATGCCATGTGACATACAAAAATTGATAATTAAAATAGTTTGAAATCCTAAGATTTCAATATTCATTGTACTTATAAAAATCAAATTATTTTTACCTAAATATTGCTTAAAATTAATATAAAATAAGGCTTCTTTATGGCATATAATGCAGGAAAATGTTGTATATTATATTTAAATGCAATATATTTGAAATGCAAATAAATATATTGCATTAAAATTTTGTACTGATATTGCAATGCTACTAAAATAATAATGATTTTCTGTGTAGTTTTAGGTACATTATGAAAAATGTAAAACTTGGATCTGGTTATAAACTGTTAGTGGATCCTTGCTTAACAAGTTTCTTTTGTACCCACTAGAACTAACCCTGTGTAGTTTTGGGTACATTGTGAAAAATGTAAAACTTGGATCTGGTTATAAACTGTTAGTGGATCCTGCTTAACAAGTTTCTTTCGTACCCACTAGAACTAACCCTGTGTAGTTTTAGGTACATTATGAAAAATGTAAAACTTGGATCTGGTTATAAACTGTTAGTGGATCCTTGCTTAACAAGTTTCTTTTGTACCCACTAGAACTAACCCTGTGTAGTTTTGGGTACATTGTGAAAAATATAAAACTTGGATCTGGTTATAAACTGTTAGTGGATCCTTGCTTAACAAGTTTCTTTTGTACCCACTAGAACTAACCCTGTGTAGTTTCTCTAAAATCAGCTTCATATTTCAGATAATTAATGTTATAGTCATAAAGAATGCCTTTTATTGTGTAATAGCTTGACCTGTTGCTTCTACTTGCTGTTGTACATAAAGAATTCCTATGTGACCTCATATATTTAACACAATAGTTTCTTGAAATTCTGAAGTCTTGTATATTTTACCTTTAATGTCTCCTTTTTCTAATTGGTATAACAGTAGGTGATATTAATACATTTTTATCAGGTAATTACAGCAGAAGTTATTCTTAACCCAGTATATTGTTTTACTTAGCCTTTTAGCCCTCCATGATAGTAACTATAAGTTATCCAATATGCCATTTTACTATTGTGTCAGACAATTATATGTTTTTTCTCCAGGCCTTTCAGAATCTATGATCCTATCACTAAAAGTCAACTCTGGGAGAGAGTGACAACTCTGGAAAAAGGAAAGGTTTATATTGAGGTATAAACAAAATCTATAAAAATTAACATTGTAGTTATGATTATAGTGACATTTAAGTCTTGAAAATATTTGTGTCCTTAAAAAAATCTCAAGCTGGGTGGATGTGGCATAGTGGTTATCCTGCTAAGACTGTGACTCCAAAAATTCATGGTTTGTAGCCTTTTATCATAAAAACATGCTCTACACTTTGCTCTAATAATATTGAACAAAGTTCTCTATTTGGTCAGACAAGAGTAGTTCACTAGTTGGTGATAAATACTGTTGATTAGCTGTTTTCTTTTAATCTTTCAGTTCATAATTAGGGTCATCTATGTGCTAATAGGTCTTTGTGTAGGTTCGTGCTTGCTATAACATGTTTTGATTACGACCTCACAATAGCAAAATAATTCAATGTTTCTTACTTTTTATATATATATATATATATATAGTATTACTATGTTGTAAACATTATAAAAATTAGAAATTGCTTTAAAAATATTAGCAATTTGTAATTAACAAAAAATTATTATTTTCAAATGAGTTTATAAACCATGATTCAGCAAACTGTTACATGTTCATCTAGAAACATGCTCCTTGTAGGCAGTAGTATCTGCTGCAGGGTGGTCTTGATAGGGGTGGGATGGTTAAAATTTAGAAGTTTTTTAAGTCATACTTCCCCCTCCCCAGTAAAGATTTGCCCAATAAAACATGCCTTCCCTCATTTCTCATCATATTTTAATGACTTAGAAAAGTGAGTTGGGTGACATCATTGCTTCTAAAGAGATAACCATTACATGGCTCAGAAATATCCGCAGTATTGATCCTTAAGCTAAAAATATGTTTATATCCTTATAGGTAAAGATTAGAATTAGGTAAAATAACAAGATACTTCATGAAAAAATGCAAAGATAAAAGTAGTAACAGTAAGCTTTTACCTGAAGTAAGTCTATCGCTAAACTGTGATCATTGTGAAGAAAGATTACTGTGCATTATTGTAAAAATATATCTGCCAGTAATAATTTAGTGTTAGTAGTTCAACTGCTATAAAACTATCTAATGAAAGAGAATTATTTTTCAGTTGCATTCATGTTACAATACATTATTTTGAGATCTTTGTAAAATTCAGGCTTGTACATGAGAAGTCTGATGTACATTTCTTTAATTGATGTCCTACTAAAGCACATCTTCATTACATACACATTATATAAAGTGAAAAGCTTTATTGCCTATAACCCCCCCCCCCCCCCACACACAAACACACACACACACACATCAACAAACTGTATTGTATGGTTCATAACCTTACCTTTAACTAGTTATAGTGCTTTGCTTTGGTTAATTTAAATTCAGTTTGTGCCGGTAGTTGTTACAAATGCTTAGCACTTAAGTAACAGGTCTTGTTACAGGTAAGTCTGAATGAAAACGGTTTAAGAAAGTAATTTAACATGAATTTCTGGTTGAGTATAATAAGATTTCATATAAGAAACATAGACATAGCATCAATAATAGAAAGTTATGATGTATATAACCATTTGACTATTATTTAGTTTAAATATGTGAGTGTAGTTCAGTTGAGTTTGCAAATAGATGAGTGTAGGTAGTCTAAACTAGCATTTATTACAGCACTATTTACACAATTATACAGAAAATGATATTTTCTTGTTTTCAGAAGTTTGAAAAATAGATATAAGTGAGAATGAAAATAACAACTTTTATTTTAAGTCACATCAATATCTTATTTTTCTTTTTAGGTTGTTAAGATATACAGACTGAAAATATCTCTCCAGTTTCTGGAATAAGACTAATATGAATATTTCCATGTGTAAATAATAAATTTATTTTGAAGCTCTTACTATTCAGCATAGTTTTTTTTAAGTTTATATTTGTATAATTTAAAATACAAGTTTTTTCTCTTGTGCATTCTGTTAATTACTTGGTTAATTTTTAATTTGGATATATATATGTATATAGATCGTTTTGTTTAATTAGAAGTTATTTTATAGAAATCACATCTTTAGCATCCTTCCTAAGTGTAACTTCCTAATTTCTGAATGTAAGTACATGTATATAAGTAACTTAATTTTCATTTTAAAATGTGTTAAGTTTATTGTAATATTTCTTGTCATAAATTTTAGCTCCTAAAGTTTGAATTTGTCTAAACCCTTAGTCAAATTCTGAAGAACATTTGATGTGAAGTGCTAGTGTGGGTTAGTTGCTGAATTTATGAAATATAAATATCATTGTTATTACAATAAGTAGTGTAGTTGAAATGCTATTATTCATTGTTCTTAATAGAAACTTATGTTAGGTCAGTAAAAAAGAACATGATTAAAATTGTTAACAGTCGTATTGTGATTGTAATATCACACCTATTACCATTTAACTGTGATAATGTGTGAAAAGAATATAGGACTTCTGATATAATTTATGCTTAGAATATTTTTCTTGTACAAACACTTTTTTATGATTCATTAACTAAGTTAACTTAGAAAGGTGTACACCAAAGCAATGGCAAAATAGAAATGACTGACCATCACAACTTAAACACTTCTCCTAGAAATAATCAAATGTTTTACATTGAAAGTGCTTTGTTTTATATATATATATATATATGTTGTTTTTAATCTGGAAATTATAAAGAATAACATTTCAAATTGATAAATTACTGGTGTTTCTGCATTGATGTATGTGTTCTAAAAATTATCACTCATTATTATATATAGGGTTTGTTACATTAAATTCTTTAACAAAGTACCATTTTTAATTGTGTATTGTAGATTTGTTTTCATATGAATTTCAAGTTAGAATTTTGTGGTGATTATACACTTTGTTACACATATTATTTTTTCTGGTGTTTAAGTTTTAGTTTTGCATTAAAAAGTCTTGTTTTATCTACATGTTATAGCATCTGTGTTATGCATTCTAACCTATAGGGCACATTGAAACAGCTTCAGGAAATGACTGGATGGCGAGGCAGCTCTGTGTTATATTTTGGTGACCAGATCTATAGTGATCTTGCTGATTTAACTCTACATCATGGTTGGAAAACTGGGGCTATTATTGATGAATTAAGGGTGAGGTAGTCATTAAAGTGTTGTTTCAAATGTTTGAGAACCATTTAACTATAGTGTAATATTACTTCTTATGTTATCAATATAAATTTGGCCTGAAACTAATTTATTTTTCTTCAAAACTACTTTATAACTAATGTTTCATGGCATAAAAAAGACAATGTGTAGTGAAATAATACTAATCATACTATTGTAAAGTTGTTTCGCTATGTGCATTAACCTTTAGTATTAATCTATTACTGGATTAGCAGCAGGGGAATGTAGTGTAAAGTTACTGTTTCACTTTTGCTTCTTAGGCAGAAAAAGCATAACTTATTGATACTTTAGGGAGACTCTTAATGATCATTGAGATATTATAATGGTGATCATGAGAGAGGATATAAATATATATATATACTGCATGATAAAGTTATTCAATACTGTTTAAAAAATTCTGTGAAAAAATACACATTGATTTCAAGCAGAATTTAAAGTACAAAGAACTGATGATGTTTGTTGAACTCTTCATATTTCCTAACTAATAAAGAACAAGTTTAATGATGCAATACTATTTGGTTGTTATTGTTTTTTTACATTCTTTATATTATTTACACTCTTGTATCTTTGAGATTAAATTTCTAACAACCCAGAAATCTCAAAACCTTCATAAAAATAAATTGTAAATAGTTCGTTTATTGGTTCTTTTTGTATCTTAAGTATATCTAAGTAGGTTTTCTTATGAAGAAAACAGTGTACTAAATTTGTAATTGTTGCTAGAGTTTGATGAAAATGCCTGGGTTTTGATGGTTAAAAAGTGTTCTATAACTTAGTAGGCACAATGAACATTTGTGTTATATAGAAATGACAGTTTTAAGTTACAAATTTATGGTGACTATACACTTAGTTCTATCATAAGTTTGGTAATATTAACATAAGTCCTTGAGCATCAGGGAATCCTTTTGCTTTGATTGGTTTTAAGGATTTTTGTTTGAAAACACAGGATGAATTTATACAAAATGATAAAATGTCTGTAGAAGAAGAAAAACATATGCAGAAGAGTTTTAACTCCTTAACTCTTCCAACATGGGGTCAGTCGATTTGACCAAGTCACATGACCTTCTGTTCTTGTTTAAAGTTGACATAAATTTAATACTTATAACTCTCTATATATTGAGTATATATATATTCATGAAATTTGGTAGTCTTTCAGTTAATATTACAAGTCTTTCACATACAAAAAGTCCTGCCCCCAGTGGCACAGCAGTATGTCTGCGGACTTACAATGCTAGAATCAGGGTTTCGATACCTGTGGTGGGCAGAGCACAGATAGCCCATTGTGTAGCTTTGTGCTTAATTACAAATAAACAATAAACAAAAAGTCATATTTCTTAGTGAAGTACTTTTACTAAAATAAAATATATTGAGTATTTGTTTTGAATAGTCCATGTGCAAAGTAATTTTCATGTTAAAATTAAAAATACCGTTCATCATCTCAAATTTCCTTTGTGTAATCCCTAAAACCTCCTAAATGCATTTCAAATGTGTTTTTCACTAAATCCTTATAGTTAATATGTTATTTCTTCTACCCTAATCTCAAAACTAGATCGGTCAATTCGACCGACCTCGTAACCACCAAAAAAATTGAAATAAACCTAAATTAACCTTCTTTTCTTTCTGGTATGACCTCAGATTGTAACCTGAAACTACATTTATTTATCCTAAGTAGCTCTAATTTTGTAACATTATACATCTATTTATAATTAAATTTTATTGTTTTATTGCCCATTGAATCGTGTCTAACTGCTATCCGTGCCATTATAAGTTGTAAATCACGTTGCAGCTCACGTTACGCTATCGAATTACATTACCAATGAGCTGATTGCATACGTGCTTCATGAACAATTTTAATTATATTATTATTATTACTTATTTTACCTATTCTAGTCTTAAATAACTTAAAAAAATCCATACTGTTAATTTTAGTTACTTTTATAATTATGAATTTGAAAAACAAGAAATAAAGTACTTACACAATCTTATTTTTTTCTTGCCCTCGATTGTCGAGTAGAGTTAAGTCTGATTTTTTTTGGTGATTATAGTAAAGCACTTAACAATTTTGATTTACTTAGATAATACATCAAAGAATATAGACTAATAACATGCAAAAAAGTAGACAAATTCACTTCTAAAAATTTTCCTGGCTTTCTAACTATGCTACAAAAGCTGTTACAAGTTCATCCAAGCTAGTCATTAACTTTCCCACGGGAATAAAATTGCTACTCCGAGTGACATTGACGGTTATCTGTTCAAAACGCAATGTTATACAAAACGCCATTTGATCAACCAATTGTGAAAGAGAGAATGCGATAGGCGGGTGTAGCAGGAGGGGTAGAATTTTTTCTTTGATAGCTGTAACAAAACAAAATTGAAAGCCATAAAAATTATGGTCTGTTTAAACAATAACGATTTTATAGAGAGCATTTTACGTTTAATTTCGTACATTTTTGAGAGGTGATGGATAAAATAGGGATGATGACATGCTAAAACAAAATTTGTCATGTGTGTTACACTAGTGGAAATTCAGGATTTTTTTATATATTTTCTTTTAAAATTAAGAACTTAAAACTTGTATACTATTAAAATATGGATTATTAGCTAAGATTTTATGCTATTCTCATTGGTATAACATAAACAAAAAGTAGTTTAATAAACTTTTGAATGTAAGACACTAAAACCTTGTGTCATGCGCAGTAAAAGGTACCTGTGCCGATAGGGTTAAATCAGCTGAAAATCCCAATTTACCCATTGGACAGTGACAGCATTTAATAGTATTTGTCTCTTTGGCTGAAACTAATCCAAACCATGTTATCATTCACCTTTTATAAATAGAAATCAGAAGTTCTATGAAGCATTGTAGTTTGTTTTGAAACAAATGGCAGAATACACAAACAGTTACGGGTTTAAAGAGTCAAGTCAAATCTGAGCATGAGCTTTCTAATAACTTCTGACTTGGCATTAGACAATTAACAACTTTGATTTGTGCATAAGTCTTTAACTTTCTTTTTTAGTTCACATGCTCTGTTAAATAACTACATGCACTTCAAGATTCTCTGAGTTGAGCCAGGCATTGTCTAGTGGCTATCATGTTGGACCATAAATCCAATAGTTCATATCCCATTGTAGAAAAAAAATGCTGCACATTCTGGGACCATGAGTGAGTTATAAGAGTATCCCAACCATTGGCAGTGGATGCTGCATTCCCTCAAACTTGCTAGTTCAAAATTAGAGACAGGTAGAGCAGATATCCCTTGTATGATATCCCTTGTTTTTTATGAATATCTGAAAAAAGTAAACAAACTTTTATGAATGTTCTGCTTTTATTTCATTTAGCACTGGTAATACTGCCATTGTGTTATGTCACTTTTGGACTTTCCTAGCATGAAAATAACACTCTTTATATTTTTAATTACAGTAGTATTTAACGTGTGGTTTGTATTGTTTCAGAGTGAAATCAAAATTCTTAATTCAGAAGAATTCCGTCATGCTGTTAGCTGGTTACAGACATTGCAACATCTTGTAGAAGAAATGCAGGTACTTTTTTGTTTTTATTAAAGATTAAGTTTTTCAATTTATATTTATTTTTTTTAGTTTAATTTACTCTAATCCTGCCTAAAAGAATTTCAAGTGCCACAGCTATTGAGGATTCCTTCTTGTTTTATAAAGCAGGTACTTTTTATTCTGATTTCCTAATAGGACCATGAAGATGCTGAAGAAATCATAGAAGAATTATTAGAAGAAAGAGATCAGTTACGGTAAGTTAGAGATGTTGTCATTTATATTAGTGCAAGTTAAAACATTTGATATTAAACTAATGAAATATATCAGCTAAATAACTTAGAAATATGCTTAGACGTACCTTATGGGAATGACTTGGTTTTCAGAATGTGAAATAACGTCTGTATAAACCCTTATCAGGTATTTAAACACATTTTTTCTTGGCTAAACTCTACACCAAATTGCTTATGAATCCATAACTTGTGTTGGTTGGTTATAGAGTTCCTTATAACATAAGAGTTCCACAAACAAACTATAAATAAAGATATCAGTATTCCAATTAATCCTATTAATTACTGCTGGTGGGTGTTTCCTGTATATTTACATAGAAAATAAGTGGTTTCTCTCAATTTTATTTTTTTGTCAGTTCTTTACAGTGAGTGTTTTGACAGGCAAAAGCATAAAATTACTCATCATGATCCAATGACCCCACTAATAGTGAATAGTATGTAAACATTTGAGTTTGAGGGTTAAGTTGACCTGTCGAGTTTTTCAACAAGTTAATGAAAGTGTTTGAAAAGCTAAAAGTTTTCTATGTATGTGTACTGTATGTATAAATATATGATAAAGTTCAAATCTTGGTAACAAACACTTTGTATCCTTTAGAGAAGACCAACTTATATTATGTATTTGGACTTGTTTTTAATTATTATTGTTGTATTGTGTTCTGAAGTTCATTAAATGATTTAGTTTCTGTTAATAGCTTTAAACATTTGAATTATTAAGAAAACTACAAGCAGTAAAAAAACATGTAAACCCAGATGATCTATTTAAAATAAGTTACCCATTAACTTCTAGCAAACTTTTGCTGCAGCAAGAATGTAATAGTTGTTTTAGCTGACTCTTCGCAAGTGTCAAAAGCTAATGGAACTGATTAAACTGAAAGCTTTCTTTTTTTTAAATCTAGAATCACAACTAAATCACTTTTCAATGCCCAGTTTGGAAGTATCTTCAGAACTCATCACAATCCAACGTATTTTTCTCGTCGACTCTTTCGGTACTCAGATATTTATATGTCTCATGTCACTAATCTTCTTAACTACACTCTCAAGCACACCTTCTATCCCCGTAGGGGAGCTTTACCACACGAATGTAAAATACCTTATATGTAACATTCACAAACCTCAGATTACGTTACCTAGTGTTTGGATTTTTAGTTGATTGTTACAATGTTTGTACAGTTGTTTGCCAAGTGAATAAGTTGATATCTGCTAGTTTTTGTAAATAAAACACTACTTGTATGTAGACTAGGTGAGTTGTTTTGGTTATGAAAAAATTACATTTATTGCAATTTATGAACTGAAGTTTTGATAATTGTTAACTACAACTTGTTTACAATTTATTTTCTGTAATATACTGTAATTAATGAAAAAAGTGTCATCTAGTAACAGAGCATGGAGATGTTCTAACATGGACATTTGCTGCATTTAATCTCCTCATATTTATTTTAGCCACAACTTTTGTGGGTTATAAGTTTGTTCTTATACTAGTTTAAAAGATTAATAAAGAAAATAATATTTTTTCTTAAAATTGTTTCTTTACAAATGTTATTGTTGTGTAAACATTGTCCTAATTATTTATTAAAATACAATACTTGAACATCAAGCTGTGTCTTTTGTTTGTGCAACCTCATCTTTCTATTATTTGTCATTTACAATCACTGTTTTTTTACAAATCTCATTCTGTGTGGGAATGCTATGTGAGTAATCGTGTGTCTCATGCATTTCTTTGAATCTCTAGGCCTATCATATTCTGTCATGCAATATTAGCTCTATTTAATATTTGCTTTACCTTACACAATCTTATATGGCCACTTTTGCAATTGGCACTTTATGCAGTTCATATGTGTTCATGTAGTGCTTATGTTTGGTGTTGTGACAATATTTTAGGTATTTTCTATTTAACGACTGTTGTTTGATTCCAAACTCATTTTGAGGTATAACTTTATTTTGATATTCATTTTATCATTTTTGATGTTTAATTATAAATTCAAAGTGTCATTTAACTGGTGGAAGTGTAACAATTATTCATTAGAGATTGAAACATAACCTGTTGAAGCTAGTCAAGCATAAAAGTTTTGGGACTTTCAATTTCAGACTCTCGACATATGTTTGATGTTGAAATGCAGTGGTAATTTTCAAAGTCAGTTTACTTCATTAATTACAGGATATAATGAATTTGAGGAGAAACTTTAGTCTGTAATACCACTGGCTTTTCCTTCTTTGCTACAATTATGGAACTGATTGCCTTTTTTTTTTTTTTGTCAGTGAGCTGGGTTTGACCTGAGACTTGTCTAATACTCCTTCATGTGAGACAATATCTTTGGGGGCTTATTTACCTTCCCCTCTTCTCCTTATCTAATACTCCTTCATGTGAGACAGTATCCTTGGGGGCTTATTTACTTTCCCCTACTCCCTCTTGCCTGAAATTTATCATCAGGCTGACTTTTTTTTTCATTATTTGGGAGTTTTCAAGTTTTTTTAACTCTCTAAACTGCCAATAGTGCTGGGAAATTTATGAAATTTACTTATTGATTAATTGCTGGGCACATTAATCATTTACATTTAACTAATTCATTATTCTCACATGAGTCTAATCTTCTTATTTTCAGCTTCTTTTGTTAAAGACATTTTTGAACTAACATTTGTTTTATATGATAGGTAAAACAATTTATAATTAACTTACTTTTTTAATCCTAAACTATTTCATGAAAAATGTATCACATAGTAACACAGTATGAAACCTGTAATTAGCTGAAAGTATGATTACTATTATTCAATCGGTTTCGCTCTACAAATTTTTACAAGACTACTAAAACTAAATAAAGTGATTCTTTGTTATATATAATTGTCCTTAGGCTTCATGTCAGATTCTTGTCACAGTGTGTGATAGATGATATATAATTTAGTGAAAATAAATTCACACCAATCATAGAAAAGCAAAAACAGTACAAAATTTTCTATTTGGTAAGAAAATTTGTGAAGATACTGGATGACCTTTTTGCAAAGATTAATTAACTATATATATATAGTTTAGTGAAAATAAATTCACACCAATCATAAAAAAACAAAAACAGTACAAAATTTTGTATTTGGTAAGAAAACTTGTGAAGATGCTGGATGACCTTTTTGCAAAGATTAAAGGGATTAATAATGTGTAAACCAATGTATTTTAAGAAATATTTAATAGCAGACTTTCAGTGACTCAGAATTTTTTTATCATTCAGTCATCAGCGTGAAAAACTAAAAAATAATAAACAACTAGTTGAGTATAAAAAGAAACATCTTAAACTTTTAATTGAGATGTTACTGCCAACAGAAGTTTAGAAGAAACACATTTAAATGATTAATATATTTAATTTTACAGTACAGAATGGTAGAAACTGTAGAAACACAAAGGCATGCTGAGAAATCAGGGAATGAAACAACTTAAAGGCGAATGTACTAGGTGCTGTTTAAGCAGCACATGACGACAATAAGACTTTTGTTTTCTTTTTTCAGTGCTTCCTATCTAATTAGAGCTAGTCATTATCAAATAAAAGTCCTGTTGTTTGTATAAGTATGTTAATGACATAATAGTATTGCACATTGTTAAACTGTTATTAGTCCATGATTAATCATTTTTGACAAACACAGTTAAGTGTGTAAGTTATTCAGCAGTCAAAATTTTTTAAGCAAATAAAGAATGATTAATATTAAATTGTCTTAACCTTTTTTTTTAACCAATGAAATCTTACCTTAAGGCAAACATGAACAACAAATATCACTGTGATTAGTTATGTATCCATTTTTTAAGAATTATGCCTGGTTACCTTTTTTTACCTGGATACATAGGTGCCATACACACATGAATCTACTGTTTATCAACTTAGAGACCAAAAAGGGCATTGTCTATGGAGATATCCATTCATCCCTTGGCCTTCCAACATCTCTGTCAGTCTTTTGACTGTCCAATGACCAGTGTCTTTGCAACCTTTTGGTACCACAGTTTTTATTTTCTAATTTATTGTTTTGGCCCAGGATTGATCAGGAAGGTTTCTATTTGCATGTCCTCCAATTCCCAATTGTTGGCAAAGGCATTACATTGTCAGGTGCTCTTGGTGGCACCTTTTGTTGACACAGTTTGGTTTCATCTTTTGCAATTATTTTCTATAATTGTACCCTCCACGTCTCTTTTCACTTTGGAAACATCTGTTGTGACAGCCCAGAACCTCAATTTTTCATCCTAACATTTCTGGTTAAATTTTTGTGCATGACTTCTCTTTTGTATATTGGTCAAGAAGTGAGATTTTCTTCCCTATTTACTATATAGATCACCATTTCACGACTCTTTCTTGACTGTTTAACACTGAAGTTGAAATTAAATTTTGGGTTGTGTAGACAATGTAGGACAGATTGTTTGATGCATTTGGCCTTTCATGTTTTGTTTCTTGTTTGATGTCAACCTCTAATTTATCTATTTCTGCTCAATAGGGCTACTGTACTACCCTAGGCATTTTTTTTTGTTGTTGTTTACTTTCCATCAGACTTATTCTTCTTTCCAAATGATTATTTTTTTTCAAGTCGTGGGATCCCCAAGTTTAGATGTTGCTTTGATTGTGCAGGTTTCCACACAAAGCACTTTTAAACTTTTAGTTGCACTATTTGCTTTTCTTGGCATATGCTTATCTTTATGCTGCTAATTCCAGCTGCATTTTATTCTCATTGGAGCTTCTATACTTATATCTAGCTTGAAGCTGTTTTACCAAAAACTTTAGTTCCTTCAGAATGCCGGTATAATTTCTCTGATTATGTTGTTGTGAAGTTAACTATAGCTCTGAACTTGATTGTTTTTTGTGCCCGATAAGGGCAATGTGCTTCTATAATGTTTGCATGAGCTACTTCAAATGTATCAAAACAGTGCAAGACAGAAACATTTATGCTTTTCCATAGAATGAGACTTGCTCATGAATAAGATTGCAAGTGGCAGACGGTAAATGAAATAGGGAAAGAGAACAAAATTGTTTAATTCATGGCATGAACAAGAGATGTATCTTGAGGTTACAGTAGATGCAAGTATCTCTTCATGACTAATTCCAAAACCTCATTCAAATTGTCAGAAATTTCCAAGAAACTTTTTTTTATTCCCATAATAATTAAGATGCCATATGATTTAAAAACTTGATGCTACATTGAAACATTAAAGAATCTTTTTGGAGATGTAATTACAAACAAATAAATATCACTTTATGAGTAAATTATTGCTAAAAAAACTCAAAACACAATTTTGAGATTTAAAAAAATTCATAAAGTTGATTAAGGATCCAAATTTCATAAGATATATATAACTATTTAGGAATATCATTCTACTTCAAAAGCATTCATTTTTAGACATTCATTGATACTTGAGGAAGAGAAGTCAGTTTCTTGTTCATTATATAGGATAGGTAACAAAAGTTAATATTAGTCCACGATCTTGTGTATTTAAAAATGCATATTTTATAACATCTTTTTGTAGCTTAAAAATGTCTCTTATGACAAATGATGACAAATTTTTGTTCTGAAACGTGTTTTGTTTTGAAATAGAAGCTCTTGATTGTAGTAAATTTCAACAATTTCAGTGGTTAGTGAATAACATACTGTGTGTATTTAGAACAACCTTGTACATTTTTAGGTTTCACAAAATTAGAGCTGAAAGGAATAGTGAATATTCAACAATAAAGACAATAAACTTGTTATTTTTCATTGTCAAGCTACCTCAGTACGTTTAGTTCATAAAATTTGGTAACGATTTTCACAAAAAATATTCTTACTTGGATATTCATTTGAACTTTACACAAAACATAAATTGTAAGTTTTTATGTAATAAGTTATTATTTTAGGTACATCATTATATGTCTAACAGAAGAAAGGATGATATGTTACAAAATGAAACAAACAATATGGACACACTTTGTCTTAGGGAACACTTATCTAGACTGCCTGATTGTGTTCAACACATCTACGTATTATAGACTATTTGATTATGTGTAACACATTTTTGTAGACTGATTAATTATCTTTAACAGGTATATCTGTTTTATTATATTTAACCAATACTAGTCTAAAGGAGCTGTTTCCTCTGTCTGAGATTAAATTTCTTTCTAGACTACCTCAGAAATCAGAATAATTAATTATTAGAAGCTACAA